CTCCCTCCCTCTCTCCCTCTCCACATATATGTATGTGGAATTTCTTAGAATGAGTTACAGGCTATGGCTTACAGACTAGTCCAACAATGGCTGCCTATGAATGGAAGCCCAAGAATCCAGTAGTCAATCAGTCCACGAGGCTGGATGTCTCAGCTGGTCTTCAGTAGATGCCAGAAGTTCCCGAAGAAGTTGGCTCTAATGACAGTGAAGGAATGGGATTGTTATCCAGAGCAAAACAAGCAGGCAAAAGGAGAGCCCCCTTCCTCCACGCCCTTGTAAGGCTGCCAGCAGAAGGTGTGGTCCAGATGAAAGGTTTGTCTTCGCACCTCAAAAATCCACATTAGAAGTCGGCTTTTTCACTTCAGATGATAAATTTTAATTAAGAAAAAAAAAGTCCCTCACAGGTGTGCCCAGTCATTTGGGTCTTAGTTAATTACAGTTGTAGTCAAGTTGACAACCAAGAATGGCTGTCACACCACTACAACAGCTATAGCTAAATTTAAAAAGATACATAATAGCAAGGGTTGGCGCATGTGTACTGGAGCCAGAGCCGTCATGCACTGCATGTAGGACTGTAGAGTGGTGCATCCACTTTGGAAAACGTCCTGGTGGTTCGTAAAAGATTTAAACAAAACTATAGTCAGACCAGCACTCACGCTCTTAGATACACACTCAACAGAAACACAGATGTGAGTTCACATACGCATTTGCCCACAATTGTTTATAGCAACATTATTCAAAATATTTGAAAGGTGGATATAGGGCTGGGGGGGGGGGCAGCTATATGGGTAAACACAAGCCTAGGAACCTGAGTTCGGATCCCCAGCATTCACATGAAAGCCAGATGTAATGACATCCGCCTGTGACCTTGATGCTTGGGGATAGAAACAGGTGGATCCTAAGGAATTATGCTTTGGCCTAGCCTAGCCAAACTGACATTCAATGAGAGACCATCTCATGATGGTTCAGTGAGAGACCATTCAACGAGAGACCCATCTCAAAACAATAATAATAAAAATAAAACAACAAAAAATGAAGATGGGGAGTGATTGAGGAAGATAGCCAAAGCCAACCTCTGACCTACACATGTGCCCACAATGCGTGTGCATACATACACACAAAGGCAGAAGTCTGCCTATCAGCTGTTGTGTAGATCAACTGTAGCTCAGCTATCTACAGAGATACTATTTGACCATACGAAGAAATGAAATACGGGCACATGTCACAATAGTCAGGAATCTTGAGAACATGCTGGGTAAAGTGTACCAGACACAAAACAGCATGTACTATGTGCCTCTATGTATACACTTTATGCAGAAGAGACATTTCTATAGAGATAGAAAGTAGATTAGTGATTACTTAGAGCCGGGAGGGATGTGAAGCTGAGGGGGTGTTAGCTAAAGGGGATACATTTCTTTGAGGGAATTATGAAAGTATCTGCAGTTATTTGTGGTGATGATGGTACAACTACATGCATGCACTGAAAAACTGAATTGGTAAATTTTAAACACTAATAGTTTGTCAATATTTTTTTTCTGTTTGTATAACCAAACGAAGTGGGTAATCCATAAAGAATAGAGTTTATTTAGCCCATGTTTCTGGAGTTTGGGATATCGAGCATGTGCAAGGGTCTGGTGCGGACTGCTTGCTAGAGCATGAATGGGAGAGGACATCACATGGAGACAGAACAAGCGAGTTCAGGACTCACTTCTTCCTCTCAGATAGCCACTGACAGCATCCTGGGAGTCCTGTCCTAGTAACCCTGTCTAACCTGCGTTACTCCGCAGAGGTCCCACCTCCACGGACGAGTGACAGACGACACCGATATCGATGTGCAGTTATTGAGTTATCAACTGAAGCTGGCATCTTTTATTGTATTTTTATTATGTAATGGAAATAAGGATTCTAAATTGCTGAATGTTTTTGCTAGGTATGAAAATTCCCCTTTCAGTCTTGAATATAGAGGACAAGATGAGAGCTAAAGAGGGACGGGCCAGCTGAAACTAAGCGCATATGAAAATGCTATAAGGAAGCCTATGTGTGGTAATCAAAAACTGAATTCAATTTTTTTTCTAAAAAAATCATACATAATGAAGTATGTTAATAAGACATTCAAAAATAAATTTCAAAGTAGATTGAGTTCCAGTGATCAAATTCCTGAATGTGAAATTCAACCGAGTTCTGTGTTTTTCTGCAGTAAAGTTAGTACCCATTCATGCACTGTGTGGGATGACATAGAGAAACAGGATACTGTAGCTTACAGAGTTTCATTAACAACCAAGTGTATTAATTAAGACTAGAAACATCCCCTTAAAAGAATATGGTAACAACAGGGTAGAGAGGAGCATGGAGCACAAGATAATTTCTCCTATTATGCCAGACTGTTATCTAAAGAGAAAAGCCCCTTCAAACTAATTCTATAACCATTGACAGTTAAAGAAAACACAAGGTCGAGTGAGGTTCAAACTGACAAAAGTTTGGTAGGATTATTTTTGCAAAAGCAAACATTGTTTCACTACCGTCTTTTATTAATTGGTGTCTGTTTAGTGTGGAAATTATTATTTAATGGGCATGTCATCTCTTGTTTCTATTGAATACCGATTTTTTTAAAAGTGCTGTTAGTTGCAAGTGCAGTTACAATCAGAGAAAGTGGCTTATCCGTCTCAATCTTATTAGTTTTTGAAATAGAATACTCAGCATGGGTGCTCTGTGGTATAGGTATGAAACATTGGTTGTCTCTGATTGGGTGGAGCCACAAGAAGGTAAAACTTTCTCGGCTATGCCCCACAATTCTACCCACTCAAGTCAAAACTTCACAGGAAACACTCTGAGACGGGGATGGTGAACAGCTCTAAGCTGACAAATAGACTCCATAAAGCCCATTCCAGTCTCTCCTCTGCACCTCCAGCTGCCTTCTCAGTTATTGTTCCTTTTTCTCTTTAGCATGTAACATCTCATTCATGTCCAGGTCTGTGTTCTGTACTGTGGCTGCAACAGTGACAGGATCATCATTGCCCACCCTTGTGGAACTTTTCTCTATATGTCATCTTTTTTTAAATACAAGATTATTATTATACTCAAAATAGTGACATGAATTATTTGCTTGTTTTTGCATATACAAAGCTAGAATTCTGAAGCAAAAGCCATTACCGGGGTCTGTAACGTTCTGATTGTGCCCACAGGCCCCTCTGGATATCAGAATCACTACCCAGATGGCAGACCGAGGGCCTATGAAGAAACTCATAGGAACTATGATGTCTATACAGCAGGACTGAGCGAGGAAGAGCAGCTGGAAAGAGCATTAAGAGCCAGCCTCTGGGACCGAGGTAAGAGCCTTGCACCCTTCAGTTATTTTAAAACCAGCCTCGTGGCAAGGTGGTCTGAAAAAGGACTATTTGTAGCAAATTAAGCCTCGAAGAGTTTATAAAAAGGATATATAGGTGAAAAACCTGTGCAGATTGTGATCTCAAAGAATGGGATGTGATGCCGTTGTCCCACAGCCTAAACTCCCAAGGTGCCAGACTGGATGCATTGTTAAGTGTTCTTTTTATAGGCCCGCTGTGCTTTGTGCCTTAATATTGAAGTCAAGAAACTTAAAAAAAAAAAATAAATTAAGTACATGAGAAAGGTATTTTCTTTGGTATTCATGGCTGTAAAGTAGGCACTTATTACCATATACCAGTCTTGGCCACGAACTTCCCCACAGATTGTGTTTGGAATCAAATGGACTCAGGTTTGAATCCTACTGAATCGATCTCTCCAGGGGCAGAGCCTGTGATTTTGTAGTTTGAACACATTTTTCAAAAGATTCTTTTACAGATTGCTATCTAAGCATCACTCTACCTATTTTGCTATCTTTGCTCTGGGTTTGGCTTCTGAAGTTGGGTGTAGATGTCCTCATTATTGCCCTAGCATAAGTTCCTAAAAAGCAGCCATTGACTCTGGAGAGTTATACTACTTGTACTTCTCAGAGGGTACCGTGTAGGTACAGAGTGAACACAGAGGTAGAAGGTGGGACCCCTTCTGGAAAACTTGACTGTCTCTGGTTGTGTGTGGACCTCGTTGATACCACTTCCTGCACGAGTAATGATAACATCAAGGATCTGCCCTGAAAAGCTTCACAATATCTTATGAAGTGTATTTATGTTGCACACTGTGCTATACAAGTAAACGTAATTTCAAGTACCCAGGAGGGGTACTAAATGGGTGCTAGGGGTGAGAGGATGGGGGAGTGTCCTTAGATCTTCACAGAGGCAAAGTCGGTGGCGTGTCAGGAATTTGTGGAATTTGCAGAGATGTCAAAGGCATTCTTGACAGATGCTCTGAGTGTTGTTGCAAACAGAGAACTAAAGAGTATGTTCATGCCAGCCCTCACTTTTGAACTGAGCACTGAGAAGCCGGGCTGGGGCCGGAGTCCTGTGGTTAAACAGCATCAGTGGAACGGTGCTGCGGCGGCTGATCTCAGTCGTCAAAGAGTAGACTTTACATTTCCATGGTACCTCTCTTTGTCTATGAAGGTGTTCCCAGGAAAGTTTAAACCTCCCACGGACTGGGTTTCTGGGCTGAATAAATGGAGAAAGCAGGTTGGACACTAGAATTCATGTATTTCTGTTTCCTGACCTTGGACACAGTGTGACCAGCCACCTCCCCATCGTGCTAGGCTTTCCTCGCCTGGGGTTGTATCACCTCAACTATAAGTTGGAATAAGCACCTCCTCCCTCAGGTTGTCGGGTGTTGGGTCACAGCACTAACTATAACCGACACCAATTCGGGTAGGATTGAGTGTGGGGGTGCGATGTGAACTGTGTTTTGTAAATCTGGCAGTAGCCTTCTGCAGACAAGAGCCGGGCAATGGCCAGATGCTGCTCAGCGATGGGAACACACGAAGTATGATAGTATTGCCCTTGAATTTAAGGAGGGCAATGTTGGCAGTGGCAGTGTGCATAGAGATAGTGTGCTGTAATAAACTGAAGAAATAAGATCCCTCATTGTAGAGCAACGGGAGGCTAGAGAAAAGGGAGAAATTGGTATTTCTGGGGTGCACGGTATCAGCTATGATATATTGGTACTCTATCATTGTATAACAAGTCACTCTGAAGTTGGTGGCTGACAACAGTAGACATTTCTTGCTTTAAGAGTGCATGGGCCAGCAGGGCCAGAATGCCTTGCTTTTGGCTGGCAAGCTGCAGGGATCAGTTTGGAGCATCCCACAATAGCCTCATGAACCCATCTATTAGTTCCCATTCATTCAGCAGGTATGCCCAGGCTCGTTACAAGGCTTCCAAAGACAGAGTGTACAAACAAGCAAGGTGGCTGACAGGCCATGGTCTTATGTTACCAAAACATGTTACAAGGGCAAGTCAACTCAACAGAGAGGGGAAATGGACTGTCTCTCAGAAGTGCAAAGGAGAACCCAGCCATTTTTAGAAATCACTGACCTAAGCCGGGCGGCGGTGGCACACGCCTTTAGTCCCAGCACTCGGGAAGCAGGGCCAGGCGGATCTTTATGAGTTCAAGGCCAGCCTGGTCTACAGAGCAAGATCCAGGACAGGGACCAAAACTACATGGAGAAACCCTGCCTCAAAAAAACAAAAAAAAAGAAAGAAAAAGAAATCACTGATCTAGAGTGACAAACTCTAGAAGCATGATTTGGTGGCACCATCCTGAAACCTGGAAAAGAGCCCCAGAACCAGTGTGGTAATGAATCCTCAGGGATACTCCTGTGTATATGGCTAGTTATGATGTAGTTATGTGTGGACACACAAGGCAGGGCAGGGCTCATGTGCATAGAGTGACTAGCTAATCTCCAACCCCTTCCACACTGACCAGATAAATCCCAGGAGCCACACAACGACTGGATGGTAGACTAGGTCAATAGTTACGTTTCTGAGGGGGCAACACTGGGTTATTAGCATCTGTTTTTTTATAAAATGTCTACCAATAGCGAGCCTTCAAAAAATGATAAAAGGTTAGAGGAAAAGTCAAACAGGCTGGAGTCTGAGTATGAACATTGGGTCTAGAAAGTTCCCAGGTCAAATGGGGTAAGAGAAAGGATCACTCACAAGTGGACAGGCACCCTCTTGTGAAGTTTCACTTCTTGGTTTTATGTTGTCGTACCACCCCCCTACCACCCACCCCCCTACCACCCACCCCCCCACCCCCGCACACGCGCCACCCCTGCCTTCCCCCCAGTGGTAAAGGTGTCGGCAGCAAAGTTGCTGTTTTAGTTTACCACCACTGGCACAGTGCCTAAGAGAGGAATGCCTTAAATGTGGTAGAGGAATGCCTTAAATGTGGTTTCGGACACTTCAGTCCAGGTTGGCTGGATCCATTGTTTCCGAGCCCGAGATGATGCAGACCATCACGGTGGGAGCTTGTCTCAGGCTGCTCATTCCTTGGCTGCTGAGAACCAGCGATCAATAGATAAGAAGAGGCCCAGAACAAGACAGGTCCTTCAGAAACAGACTGCCAGTGACCCGTCTCACCTAGCAAGACTCCACCTCCCGGGAGCTCATTCAGTTATGAGTTATTCACCCCGCTGGCGACAGCGCCTTCAACACCTGAGCCTTTGGAGAGGATAACTGACATCCGATCCAAACTATAGCAGGTGTTTCTCAGAAAGAGAGAGTGGCTTTCTCCAGTAATGGCCTTCTGTGTCTCTCAGAGACAAGTATGCAGGGGATGTATGGCTGGGAGCATCCTCTGGTGGGCCTGGCTGTTTTGGAGTGGTTTGAGAGACTTGAATATAACTACAGAGAAAAGGTTCTGCGTTTTGTGTCTCAGAAAAGGAAGTTAGAGTCAGCCTTAGAGAATGTTTCATTTGTAAATCTTTAGTAGTTACTAAGCTAATATAAACATAACTAATACGTAACAGAAAATAAACAAAAATGTCTAAGTATTTAGTAATGGTCAGAAAAATCAGATACATGCTACCTTCAGAGGTTTCATATATTTAATCCTGTATATTTTTTTTAAAGATTTTGTTTATTTTATCTGTATGGGTGTTTTGCCTGCATGTATGTCTGTATACCACATGTATGCCGTGCCCACTGAGGCCAGAAGAAGGTGTCAGGTACCCTGAAGCTGGCATTCTAGTAGATGATTGTGAGCCACCATGTGGGTGCTGGAATCCTCTGGGTCCATTGTTTTGAGCCCGAGATGATGCAGACCATCATGGTGGGAGCTTGTTTCAGGCTGCTCATTCCTTGGCTGCTGAGAACCAGCGATCAATAGATAAGAAGAGGCCCAGAACAAGACTCCACCCCCTTCCACACTTTTCTAAAGAGAAAACCAGGGTCTTCTGCAAGAGTAGCCAGTGCTCTTCACCACTGAGCCATGTCCCTCTTTTGCGACAGGATCTCATGTAGCCCAGGCTGGCCTTGAGTTCCTCATCCTTCTCCGTCAAAGGCACACACCTCCATATCTGACCAGGCTTCATCCAGTTGTCTGAAACACAGTTGCGAAGACAACTCAGAAAGGAGCACTATTTTGGGCAGCAAGAGAAATCACTTCAAATTTTCTTCTATGAAATGTTTTTTAAAATGGTTTATTATCTCATTTGTAAAACGTTTCAGGGAAAGTAGTTTTATTTTTCAAAGTTTGTTGTTGCTCTTCCTGCCAGACACTATTAAGATTGGGCTGATGAGAAGAGCCTGAGATTGTTTTGAGGCCAAGGGTTTGGTTTCTGCATAACCCAGTCACTTGGTGTAGGTAGATAGGACCTCCGCTTTGAGTCCAAGCACCTTTGTGGTTTGCCTCCCAGTGTGAGAGACTGACGCAGGCACACTCCCCGCCCAGTTGCTCTCTTCAGCTTACCCCTGTTTCTCCACAAAGCCAGAAGGTCCCCCTCCTTTCCCCATTCCCTCACAAGTGTATTTTCTGAATTTAAAGGTTTTTCTTCTTTCCATTCTCAGAAAAATCACAATAGCACCTGGTATTTGACATTGGTCCTTCAAAGGGTCCATCTGGATCTGAGACCCCTGTGACCTTGTGTGATACTCTGTAACAGTGAGCACATTCCAGTACCAGGACACCAGTGAAATACATTGTTAGAGGAATGCTCTCTGAAAATTAAGTTGCTTAGGAGGAAGAATCAGGTTTGAGCCTGAACACATAATATACTCAATTCCAAACTAATTGAATGAAATGCAAAAATAATGTATTCAAGAAAGAAAATATAAACAGTAAGATAGGTGAACGATTGTTATTTTTAGGTATCATCTTTTCTAAAGAGAAAAGCAATGAAAAGTAAGAGAAGAACAATAGATATTCATATAAAACTTTGACAGAGACTGTCATTAACATGTAAAGAACTCATGTAACACAG